GGGGTTCTGCGTGAATTAAACGAGCAACAGAAGAGAAATCATCTTGAAGCTTGCCTTTCTTTGCTGTCATGACATAAAGGCAAACCATTTCGACACTGTATTGTTACATGTAATGAAAAATGGATTCTTTTTGACAATCACAAACATTCAGCACAATGGTTGGATAAAGATGAAGTGGCGAAACACAGTCCAAAACCAAATATTCATCAAAAAAAAGCTAATAATGTCTGATTGGTATTATCTATTATAGCTTCATGAAACCTGGTCAATCAATTACAACGGATGTCTACTGCAATCAATTGGACAAAATGATGAGGATGCTTGTGATCGAGTAGCCAAAATGGGTCACTAGAGACACGCAAATCCTCTTGCAAGACAATGCTTGACCACATAACGCACGGCTAGACTTGGAAACTCTCTATCATCCACAGACTTTGCACAAACTGACTACCACTTCTTCCAGGCTTTGGACCACTTCCTGCAAGGAAAAATATTCAATTCTCTGATTTCATCGCCACTCATCTCCAGGTTTCTTTGCTGCTGGCATAAACCAGCTACCATTAAGATGGCAAAACTGTGTCAACAGTTTGGGCACACACTTTGATTAATTGTACTGGTTCTGTTTGACATATAAAAAACTACACTTTTGATTTGAAATCAGACATTTCATATTTAATGACCTAATAATTAGTTAAGATGAGGTCATTAGGATGTCGTAAAAAAAGTACGACTTGTGTCCTTATAAAAAGGGAAAATTTGGACTCAGACATAAATGGAGGGAAGACAATGTGAAAAGAAATAGGAAGAAGACAATAGTCTACAAGTCAAGGAAAGAGGCCTGTAAAAGATCCTCTTTCATAGCCCTCAAGAGGAACCAACCCTGCCAATGCCTTGATTTTGGACTGCTAGCCTTCCAAATTGCGAGATGATAAATTTCTGTTGTTTAAGCTACCCAGCTGTGGTGTGTTTTTATGACAGCCCTAGCAAACTCATACAGGCAGTAACTACTAAAGTGGAATATATACATACCCTATGACCGAACATATCTTCTTCTTGGTAGATACACATCAGAAAAGTGTATTTATGTTTACCAAAAGATTTGTATAAGAATATTCATATCATTACTATTCATAAGAGCTCAAAACTAGAAATAACCCAAATGTTTGGTAACAGTAGAATGAGTAAGTAAATTATGGTATACTCACAGAATAGAATTTATGTGACAATGAGAATGAATGAACTATAATCACATGCAACATGGATTGCATCTCACAATAACGTTGAATGAAAGAAATCAGACACAAACAAGTACATAATAGATAATTACAATGATATAGTTGAACAGGCAAAAGTAATCTATGGTGTCAGAAGTCAGGATAGCGGTTACTTTGGGAGAGGAGGGAGGTAGGAGTGACCGGGAGGAGGTAAGAGGAAAGTTATGGGATACAGGCATTAACCTATTTCTTGATGTTGGTGACAGCTATACTGTGAAAATTTCTCAAGGTGAACATTCATAATCTGTACACTTTCACCTTTCTCCATGTATGTTACTACATCAGTAAGAAAAAAGTACTTTTTTTTTTAAAATAAGAGATGAGGTCTCACTATGTTGCCCAGGCTGGAGTACAGTGGCTATGCACAGGCACGATCCCACTACTGGTTAGCAAGAGAGTTTTAACCTGCTCCATTTCCAACCTGGGTGGGTGCACCCCTTGTTAGGCAACCAGGTGGTACCCAGCTCCTGGGAGGTCAACATATTGATAAAGAACTTAGGATACCCGATGGGCATAGTGCACTATAGCCCAGAGCTACTGGGCTAAAGCAATCCTCCTACCTCAGCCTCCCAAGTCGCTGGGACTAGAAAGGCATACCATGAGCCTGGCAGAAAAAGTACTTTTAAAAATTGAATAGGTGGGCTAGAGAGCAGATTAAACCAGCTGATCATGAAGAGAGAATTTTGATAATAGTCATAATGTAGTATAGATAGAGAAAATATAAAAGACATTAATGGAAGCATAGGATAGAATAAAAAGGTCAAGTATAAATCTAATTAGAATTGTAGCAGAAGACAAAGAGAATAGGAGAGAAGCAATATTTGAAGAGGTAACAGCTGAGAATTTCCTAGACTAAGACACAAATCCCAGATTTAAAATACACAATAACCTTAAACTGGATAAATAAAAGGAAAGCCATAGTGACTAAATTACAGTAAAACTGCAGAACTCCAAAGTCAAAGAGAAAATCTTAAAATCAGATGATGTACAAAGGAACAAAAATTAGACTGCTTTTATTTATATTTTCATTTTGAAAATTTTCAAAATCACAGAAAAGCCAAAAAGAATAATACAACAAATATACTCACCAGATCAAACCACTCACCAGAGTCACACTGTTAACATATGGCTCAACTATTCAAAGTTTCTGTGAATATATACACATTTCCCTTTTGGGAAAATGTAGAAAGTAGGCTTCAGATAGCACAGTTCTTCCTATGAAAATTCTTTATCATTGCATTTCTCAGAAACAAGAACATTCTTGTATTCAGCCACAACACCATTACCTCATCAAAGATAATCAACTTTAATCCAATAACATTATCCAAATAGAGTCCAGATGAAATTTGCCCAGTTATCCCGAAATTGTCCTCTAAAGCTTTTTTTTAACTGATCCAAGATCTAATCAAGGCTTGTGCATTACTTTCAGATGTTGTAGTTCTTAGGTCTTTTTCAACTTAGAATACTGTCTCTGCTTCCCTTGGTTTTTCATGTCATTGAATCCTTTGAAGAGGCCCACATTCTAGATTGGTTTGACTATTTCCTCATGATTACGATGTCAAATATTTCCAGTAACAGCACATAGGTAATATTATGTCTCTCCTGTGTACCACATTGTACATGTGGCAGTCCACCACACCAAGCATGTCCATTTTGTAATTTTTCTTTTGTAATGAAGTCATCTGCAGCATGATATTTTATTAATAAGACTCAAGAGTATACTTAATGACAATTACACAAGCCAGAAGACAGTAGAATACAACCTTGCAAGTGCTAAGAAAAAAATAACTAATAAAGCAGATCTATATTGCCCATTAAAATATCGTTCAAAAATGAAGGAAAATAAGATATACCCTGAAATTATTTTTTTAATCCTGAAATGATTATCTCATGGTCTAGCAAAAAAAAAATTTAATGGGAAACAATACAATATTGCCAACTTTTCATTTCCCAAATGATATAAGAAAAAATTTCAGCTACTAACATATTTTCATAAAAGAAAGGACAATTGTAACCTCCCAAAAGCAGGGAAGATCTAATAATAAGTCCAAAATAAATGAAAGTTGTTTAGAATGAATAAATTTCATTTTATAAACAGCATACTTATTTTCTCATTTTGCCACATACATTCACATTTGTTAGGATTAGTTAACAGTCCAAGGACAAATATTTGGAAATTACTAAATTTAGCTTAGCAAAAGGGAGAAGGCATTTTATTTGAGCATTATGAGGAACTCAGTCTTATTTTCTAACTACAATAATTAGGATAATATCCATTTTATACCTGATGAATCTGAAGTCCAAATTGTCAAAGAAGCATGCCCAGCATCACAAAGATAGTAAGTGACTCAGATTTAAACAAAGGCTGACTCTAAAGCATATGTTCTCTCTACTCTGCCATACTGACAAGCCCAACGGCTCAAGTATTAAATACCTAGAAGAAGCTTAAGACAGCAGTTTAAGATGGCATTTGTGACTGAAATCTTTGGGAATTTGAGGACCACTGACATTGTGAATACAGGATGGAAGAGTACAACTAGTCTAATTCCATAAAAACAATGGATACCTACAGAAGTGATGTCCAGGCTAGAAAAACCGGGTAGATGTAGGTATAAAGTAAAAACCACCAGATTTATAAACTGAGGTATCAATTAATTCCTGTAAATACAAATGCATACAATAGGAACAAACTACTAATACATGAAAAAACAGATGAATCTCAATAAGATTACAGTGAGTAAAGAAAGCCTTTCAAAAATAGCATATACTGTATGATTCTATTTATAAAAAGTACTAAAAACACAGGCAAAATAAACCTATGGTTTAAAAAACATCAGGTCAATGGTTGACTGTGACAGTGATGATTGGGGGAAAAATGAGGGAACTTTCTAGGATGGTGGGTTTGGGTTATACAAGTATATGCATTTGTCAAGAACTGTGCATTTCAATTTAACTTCAACAGAAAAAATACATAAACAAATATGAACTCTGGTTAATCATATATATACTTAAGTATTTAGGAGGAAGTACAATAATGTCTGCAATTTACTTTGAAATGAATGAAAATAATAAGATGGATTGTTGTGATGAAAGGATAGAGGGATGGATAAACAGATAAATATGTGATAAAGCAAGCATGGCAAAATGTTAATGATAGACTGTGGGTGATGGGTCTACCAAGCATTCATTCTAACATTCTTTCAACTGTTTTATGTTTAAAATTTTTCATAATAAAATATTGAGGAGAAAGTATATGATACACGTGACTACAGAACCAAGACAATACTATCCTTAAAAATATAGAAAAACACGTAATGGCCCGATTTAATGGAAGAGATCATATAACCATTATGAAGTTTGAAAAGAAGAAATATAGACAGTGATATAAGGTACTAGTAAGACACACCCAGAAGTTGCAGATCTAAGTTGGAAAATGTAATGAATAAAAATGCAATGGAAATTAGTTATGTCAATATTTGAGATACTCAGACAGACTATCCCGGTAACTCAAATACTTAGGGTAAACAAACATACTTTCTTAAGAAATCAGAATTGGTTCAATATATTTCAACCTGAAGTATAAGTCAATCATAGTAAATGGAGGAAGCTAACTTAGACACAATCAATTCTACTAATGAAACACTATGGATACATGAAAAGAATGGTTTGAACAGAGCTTTGCCAGGAATTTAACATTTTTAACATGTTTTAAAAGAGGTACTTTACCTGCCATCCCTTCTGAGGGCAAAAGTGATGCCATCTTTCTGGAATGGAAGAAGCTTTGCTCTCAGTTTTTCAGGCAAAAAATCCAGCTGTTTATAAGATTCACTTGTCAAACAAGAAATCTGAGGTGTAAGAGACTTTTTTACGTTTTTGACTTTAGGCATGATGATCCTAAAAACAAAGAAATCACAAAAAAGGGACAGGTGGAAGAAATAGATATGACTAAGTATATCACAAAATCACACATGAATAATAATATTAAAGTACTTATAAATAGCTTTGACATACTATCTATATAGATATAAACTAATTATTAAAATAAATCATGCTCCCAGAGTAAGTTACAAGGAAAATTCAAAGCACCAAGTCCAAAAGTAATTACTTAATGCACTCTTTAGGAACTCAGCATCCTCTATTTCATTTTGAGCCATAATATAGCCATATTCCTGCTTAATGCAACAAATGTATTACCAAAAATTATAAATCAACTAGGTTTTTAATAAATTGAATAATTTTCGAAATAAGGGATGAATTTACTATAGAAAGATGAGTCCTTTTATAATTGATCCCATTATGGATGTACATTTTGATATCAGATTTTCTAAGAGTGAGGCAAACCCGCATTTAAAAAATTATAACATACGAAGATATTAACTCCAAATTTATAGTAATTAAACGAATACAACATTACTAAATGAGATTGATTTTTAAATATTAAAATTAATTCTTTTTAATCGGCTGAATCCACAGTATAAACTCTGCCTGATTAGTACCTTCCTCACCCAGTTTCCACAGGCATAATTTTAATTTTCTACCACATAAAAATTTCATATCTATAAATTCTTAGAACTCTGCAAGATTTGTATGTAGATGGCACTTAGCCATCTATGTTTACATATAATCTCATTCCATCTTTTAAGAAAGTTTCCATTTTTCTCAATTACATGCACACTTATAAAACCTTAGCTCCCCTTCTCTGCAAAAAGTAATCAACCTCTGTGTCTTAGGAAGTATTATTTGGCCTGTGGTCTGGAGGATATAGTCAAAATTAAGAGAAGAGCATTCCAGGCAGAGAGCATCAGTGCAAAGGCCCTGAGTTGAGAAAGGTCTTAGTGTTTTCAGAAGACAGAAAAAGGCCCATGTGATTGAACCAAAGGAGGGAATGGTTCAAGATGAAACTACCGAGATAAACAAGAGCCAAATCACATAAAGCCTTGATAAGGACTTTGGATTCTATTTTAAGAAGGAAGGAAAGCTAATGGAGTTGTGCTGTCCAATACACCATTAGCCACATGTGGCTATTTAAATTTAATTAAAATAAAAAATTCGCTTCTCCACTTTCACCAGCCATATTTCAAGTGGTCAATAGTCACATATGGCTGGTAGCTACCATGTTCAACAGTGCAGATATAGAACATTTCCATCTTTACTGAAAGTTCTATTGGCTGGCACCTACTGAAGGGTTTATACAGGGGAGTGACATACTCTGACTTACATTTCAAAAACTACCAGTGGGGAACAAAGCTACCAATAGGAAGGCAGGAGATGAATGTCTCTATAGGATTTGGCCAATCAACAAAGCCCCATTGCTTCAATAGGCAATTCGATTTAAAAATGATTTAGAACTCACACCTGTCTGAATAAGGTCCTCATAAACACCAGTGAGTGGGCATCTCTAGAACCCTCTCAACACCACCACCACCCACAACAAAACTGAGCAAGGAACAGAAAATGGTGCAAAAAGGGGACAGCATGAAAGTGGGAAAACTGTTATCAGGTTGCAACAGATGAGGGAAAAATCATCTTTAGCAGCGAAACTGGAAAGATTCAGGAAATGTATCAGAGGTAAAGCAAACAGCACTTGATGATGGAGTACATTTGGAGAATGGGAGAATGTAGACTCAAAATGTGGATCTAGAGCTATGGAGTTAATGATGTAATTGACTGAGATAGTGAAGACTATAGAAGAAATGAATTGGGAAGAAAAAAAAACAATAATCTTTTAGGAATATATGAAATCTGAGATGGCTGTAAGACAGAAGTGGAAATATCAAGTAGGTTTGAAAATACATGAGTCTGGAGCTCCTATAGGGAAAGATAGATACTAGATACACTGGAAATATTAGATACTTTCCCAGCCTGCCTTATGGCTACTGGGTTTGCTAATCAGATTTACCCAATCTGAACTTTAATCTAGAAAGTCAAAATTCAAAGGAGTATGGATTAAGTGAAATCCATTCTGGCAAGGGTAACAGCAGGAGAAAGACACATGTCCACTTTCCAGAAGTAATAGGAGTTTCAGAAGTGCTTTTCAGAGCTAATGATATAAGAGGTGTAACATTTTAGGGTGGAATGCTGGCAAGAAGCTAAGTTAAAAAAATTTTTTTTGCTATTATCTTTAAGACTCCTTTACACTATACTTTGTAATAGCTTTTCTATGTTTTGGCTACAATCAAGTGTAGTATTTACTTTGTAAAAAATTCAATGGACACTCCAAAAAAAAAAATTGCTAGTTGAGGTCACTCTGCAACTTACATGATTTATTTTATGAGTACTGAGTCAGGCACTATATTTGTAAAAATAAACAATGAAACTAAAGTTATCTTAATAAAAAATGTGTTTTAACAGAGTCATAAATAAGAGAAAAAATAATTATTCAAATACAAAAATGAAAGAAGCCTAAAATAGTATGACAATGTTCAGAGAAAATTTCAGTTGAACTTGAAATTACAGTGTGGCTCATTGATGATTCAAACAGATATTTAGATAGAAAAAGGAGTTAATATGTAGTGGTACAATATAATTAATAGAACATAAATGTTTTTGTTAATACTAAATATGCAATAATTTTTAAAAAGCTCTTTCCATTTATATGATCTAAAGTATAAAAATTACATTATAATAAAAAACATTTCATGTAGGTTCAGCCATATATAGGTTCAACTGCTATAAAAAATCAGTTGTAACCAACATTACATTAATAAGAGAAGATGCAGATTAAGTCTTCTTTCTAAAATTACCAAAAAACTAATAGTTACAATAATGTACTTGCCTCTCTTAGTGATGAAAACTACATTTAGTTCAGAGAGTTAGCAAAAAAGGGTTTATTCAATGTATAAAAAACACGTAATGGCCCGATTTAATGGAAGAGATCATATAACCATTATGAAGTTTGAAAAGAAGAAATATAGACAGTGATATAAGGTACTAGTAAGACACACCCAGAAGTTGCAGATCTAAGTTGGAAAATGTAATGAATAAAAATGCAATGGAAATTAGTTATGTCAATATTTGAGATACTCAGACAGACTATCCCGGTAACTCAAATACTTAGGGTAAACAAACATACTTTCTTAAGAAATCAGAATTGGTTCAATATATTTCAACCTGAAGTATAAGTCAATCATAGTAAATGGAGGAAGCTAACTTAGACACAATCAATTCTACTAATGAAACACTATGGATACATGAAAAGAATGGTTTGAACAGAGCTTTGCCAGGAATTTAACATTTTTAACATGTTTTAAAAGAGGTACTTTACCTGCCATCCCTTCTGAGGGCAAAAGTGATGCCATCTTTCTGGAATGGAAGAAGCTTTGCTCTCAGTTTTTCAGGCAAAAAATCCAGCTGTTTATAAGATTCACTTGTCAAACAAGAAATCTGAGGTGTAAGAGACTTTTTTACGTTTTTGACTTTAGGCATGATGATCCTAAAAACAAAGAAATCACAAAAAAGGGACAGGTGGAAGAAATAGATATGACTAAGTATATCACAAAATCACACATGAATAATAATATTAAAGTACTTATAAATAGCTTTGACATACTATCTATATAGATATAAACTAATTATTAAAATAAATCATGCTCCCAGAGTAAGTTACAAGGAAAATTCAAAGCACCAAGTCCAAAAGTAATTACTTAATGCACTCTTTAGGAACTCAGCATCCTCTATTTCATTTTGAGCCATAATATAGCCATATTCCTGCTTAATGCAACAAATGTATTACCAAAAATTATAAATCAACTAGGTTTTTAATAAATTGAATAATTTTCGAAATAAGGGATGAATTTACTATAGAAAGATGAGTCCTTTTATAATTGATCCCATTATGGATGTACATTTTGATATCAGATTTTCTAAGAGTGAGGCAAACCCGCAT